CCTCTTGCTGTCTCTCTAAGAAAGAGGCAGCAAGTTTGGGGGGAACACAAGGAGGAGCTTCAAAGTGGCAGCACCACACGGAGACTGGGCCCAGCTGGGGAGTCCTCAGTCTGTGTGCAGCATTTCAAAATGGCAGAGCCTCATGGAGCCTGTGATCAGCTGGGGACTCCCACGCTGACCCCGGGCTCTGTGCAGCGCTGCCATTTTGAAAGTGGCAGCACCACACGGAGTCTAGGGTCAGCAGGGGAGTCCCCAGCTTACCACAGACTCCCCACAGCGCTGCCGCTTTGAAATACTACAGGGAGCACAGGGCCAGTAGGGGACTGTCCCGCTGGCCCTGTGCTCCCTGCAGTGCCTTCGCCTTTGAAGTGTAGCAACAGCCCTAGGGTTGTTTCTACACTTCAAAGGTAGAGGCGCTCTTTTCTACTAATACAGGGGTGGGCAAAAGAGCCTCCACGGGCCGGATCCGGTCCACCAAGTGGGTTGATGCAGCTCATGGAGGCCCTTCCACTTCCCCGCCCCCAGGCCAATTATGGTCTGGGGGCGGGGGAGTGCGCAAAACTTCCTCCAACCCTGGCAGGACCACGCAGCGCTTTGAGGCACCATGTGCTCCTCGCAGGGTGGGAGGAGACATCACGTGCTCCCTCACCCCCAAGTCCTGATTGGCCTGGGGGTGGGAGGAGCGCGCAGAGTTTCCTCCGCTCTCCCCTCCCACCCTGCGAGGAGTGCACAGCACTTTGAAGTGCCACGCGTTCCTCACAGGGAGGGGGTAGGGCAGGAGGAGGCTTTGCGCACTCCCCCCACCCCCAGGTCCTGATTGGCCTGGGGGTGGGGGAGTGTGCAAAGCCTCTTCCTGCCCTGCCAGGGGCATGGGTGCCTAGTCGGAAGGGGGGCGGGACGAAGGGGCTCCCCCACTGCCAGACCAATCATGGTCTGTGGGTGGGGTAGCCCAGAAGCATCTTGGCTCCGCCCCTTCCAGTTTAGGCCCTGCCCCTTCCAGGGCAGCCCAGGGCTACTTCAAAAATTTTCAAAGTGGCTCCTGGCCAAAATTTATTGCCCAGCCCTGGACTAATCAAATAGTTGATGCAAATTGTATTTATTATTCAGTTAATTAATCAAAATTTAACATCCCTAGATGGAGCCACAGAAGAATATCAATAGTCTCAAAACACCAAAGGTAGTAGAAGGCTAGAAAAGGCTGGAATTTAAGAAATAAACTTATCACCATCATTCTTAATGTTCATAAAGTAGCCACATTTATATTTTGTATATTGAAGGCTTGTGTAAGATTCTTATAAAATACTTGAGTACCTGTGATGCAAGAAAATGTTTGCGTACTGGGGATGTTGGGGAAAATTCCTTGATATTTTTCCATAATTTCTTATTGGGGTTCGACAGACTTCCTTCTTATATAATAGACTTTTTCAAGGTGAGTTACAAAAATAAGATTTTTGGTAATTTTAAACATTGCTTAATTAGTTTCACTAGCTGTAGGGAGGGAACACTGTGAGTTATTAAAATGAGGACTCCCACTGTGTTGCCCTTTTGGATAGAGCAGAAGACAAATCTTTCTCTCCTGTGAATGAGTCATATTTCTTTTATTTGTCTTTTTGGCGTGTGGCTTCTTGTTTTTTGTGCTAGGGCTTTACACATTCAAATCTGCAAGGGGAAATTGACTTTGCATGATTCTAGTCTCTGCATTAGCAAATGGACAGTTTATATAAAATGATTTTTTTGTGGGCTAGTTTGACTTTGTCTGGTCTGACTTGTAAAAATTGAAATCTTTTTGAATTATAAAATAATTTAAGCATTGTACCATAGCTATGTGTAGGCAAACGATTTTACAAATCATTGCTGTAATATATTTCTAGTGCATGTAGTTATTTAAAAAAAAATCTTCAAAGCACTTTAGATGACACTAGTACAACATCATAATTTGATTTGGTTTAGGTGATTAATATAACGAGTTATGCTTGGAAAGCACTTCTAAAGTCTTATTTATTTTTCAAGTATTTAACTTTTTTTTAAGTAATTAGTTTTGCACTGCAGTTTTGTGCTTAGCCCAAAAGTAAACCTTTTTTGTTTTGTCAAATTGCTTGGCTATTTTTAGAAATGCAAACTTAACAAAGAATTGTCTCTTTACAAGGAAAAATAAATGACTTTGATGTGTTAGAAATTTGGGTTTCTAAATTGCTAAGATATGTGTTTCAATTGTATTGCGTAGGAGCAACATTCTACATGAATATAAATTTCATTGTGGGACATGGAGTTAGGATAGTTCATACTAAAATGAATTGCATTTATAAATAAATGACTATGTGCGCAGTAAAATACCAGTTCTCTTTGAATGATCCATAAACATGAAACATAAAAAGCATATTAATGCAGGCTTAAGAGCTGATGCTATACAAGACATTGATATCAGAGGCTCTGCCTTGGTAGTCTTGCAATTTGGAAGATACAAGAAAAATGCCTTGAGAGAGTAAGATGCTAAATTCAATGTTTTTTTTTTAATTTGGCTTCACAGGGTAATGTTGAGTAGAAACTTGAACAATTGGGATTTGATGGGTAGTAGAGGTTTTGTATATGAGAGGCTGTATGATAGGAATAAAGTTTTTGAGACTAGCATTACTTGCAGAGTTAGAGCTGAGAGAGTGTGATAGATTGTATTAAAGATGTTAAATTTAGATTAATTGGCTAATCGAATAGTTAATATGAGGTGGCGAGAGACCCCCGCCAAAAGATTTCAGAGTGTGGAGCCCCCTCAGTGCGGTAGAAGCTACTGGCACCGCCAAGAGTGCCTCTAGTCCAGGGGCAAGCCTGCCATGCTCAGGCATCCCATATCACTGGATCAGCATGGGACTTGGTTTGTCCCCTCTTGTCCCAGACACTTGCCCTCACTGGCATCAAGGAATCAGAGACCCTACTCCCTGACACCAAAAGCGAGGGACAAATCTATGGCAATGGAAGCGGTGCAGCACCGTGACCAATGCATGGTGTCACGGAACAGAGCACATAACACTGTTCTTGATTCTGCATAAATTGGTACCGATCATCATTTCAGTCACCTTGGCACTGTTCTCTGGCACCAATATCAACTTGGTGCAGGCTCTGGACTCATCGGCACCCCCATGGCTGCCTCCATCTGCTTCCATGTCAGATGTGGCCTGGCTATATTCTAGCAGAAGCCATACCAGCAGGCACAGATGAGAAAAGTCAGTGCCATGGCCCCCACAGTGGCCCTCTCCCACACATTAGCCCTTCTGGATGCTGTGGGCATATCAATCGCAGGATGCATCCAGGGGATCTAGGTTGGTGGCCTTGGCTCATCGCTGTTTCAGATTACCAAGGGACTCCTGAGCCTCAGGAGCCCCAGTAACTATGGTCTCCAGATCACCACAAGAGCCTAAAGACACTGGAGTGTCTCCACAGTCCAATTCCATACAGGTTCACAGCATATACTGGCTATGGATGCTAGCCAGGCACAAGAGCAGGAGCAAGGTCAGGAAGTCTCTGCCAGCGGCCCCTCTCATAAGCAACTACTTATGCAGGAGGTGCAATCACGCCTCAGTCTAGATGCGGTTCAAGTAGTCCCTCACAATCTAAGAGACAAGAGGTTTTACTCTCGATACTTTCTAATTCCCAAGGCCAAGGGAGGTCTGAGGCCCATATTGGATTTAAGAGGCCTCAACCAATACATGAGGAGGCTGAAATTCTGCCTGGTATCTCTAGCAGCCACCATCATTCCCTCATTGAATCCTGGCAACTGGTAGGCCCTTGACCTGAAATACGCATACTTTCATGTTACAATTCTCTCAGTGCACAGGTGATATTCCAGTTTTAGGGTGAACGGCAAACATTTTCACTTTATAGTTTTCCAGTTTGACCTGGCCACTGCCCCACACGTATTCACTAAATGCATGGAGGTGGTGACAGCCTTAGTCCTGAACGTGGACATGTCCATATTGATTTCCATTGAAAGAATAGAGTTCATTGGGGTGATTCTCGACTTAATTCATATGAGAGCCATTCTTCCCATCTTTCAGGTTTCAAACCATGGCCAACGTTGTCAGATTACTCATACTGTCCCCAACCACAATGGCAAGGTATGTCTGTGCCTGCTGGGACACATGGCATCTTGCTCATATGTGATCGGACATGCAAAACTACATCACAGGCCACTCTAAGCTTGGCTAACCTCAGTGTATGATCCGATGCAGGACAGCCTGGACCTTGTAGTGATGCACTAGGGTGTGGCGTCTTGGGAGTCACCTGATTGGAAGTAAAGTGAACAAGCACTCGAAGAAAAGACCATTACCTGCTCTCTTGTAATTGTTGTTTTTTCAAGATGTTTTGTTCATATCCATCCAATACCCACCCTCCTTCTTGGGAGTTGCCGGCAAGAAGGAACAGAAAGTGAGGGGGGTTGGGTCACTCCAGGGAGCTCCACAGTTGTCCTGACAGGAGCTGCTAGGGGAAACATTTCTGATGCTCATGCCTGCAACACACATACACGTGGTTGTAATGGACATGAACAACATCAGTTATGAGAAAGTATGTAACTGTCTTTTTTTGTGGAAATGACAACTTTGTCATAACTTGTCTGCCTTTGCAAACTATACAAAATACTGCATATTATGTGGGGTATATACCTTTGGCTTTCCAAAATCTACATTTAAATTTTGTTAATATAGTTCTTGTGGATTGACTACAATGCCTATGTCCTTTTGGATTCAGGACATATCAGCACTGGTGCTGTTTGTAAATTGCATGCTTTAATTATTTTATTGTTTCATCTTGTTCCATGTCACAAGAAGGCTAATTTAGTGGGGAAAATGGTTTTGATGTGACGGCATACTGCAATTTAAACAAAAATTGCTTTGCTTAAATTCCTTTTTTTTCCATGCTCAATGCTGAAGGCAAGCTATTGAAATTATAACTTTGTTTTATGTGGCTTACGTTTCATATAAAATTTTAAATAACCTTTTTCCTTTTTTCAGTGGACAGGCCAAAATCCCAGCAAGTCAGAACCTGTGGTACCATAAGGCGAACCTCTTCTTTGGATACAATAACAGGACCTTATCTCACAGGACAGTGGCCTCGAGATCCCCATGTACACTACCCTTCATGCATGAAAGATAAAGCTACTCAGGTAAAATCTGTAAAATAACAGGACAGAAATTGCCTGAGAAATATGTTTGTCCCTGTTTGCATTTTATTGTCTTGTTCAAAATATCAATTAAATTCTCTGCAGTAGAACAGCAGGTTTATTCCAATTCTCAGCACAAATGCCCTAATTTATTTCCAAATTATATATGATGATGTTTTTGTAATTTGGTGGTTTGATTTTACTATTACACTTCATAATTCAGAATGTCTCTGCTTTTAGAAAGTAAGTTTTCAAAAATTCTGCATAATTTTAATTAGTAAGTGCAAGTATATACTTTAAAAAATATAATAGAGGTGAATTTGTTACTGGTGGCAAACTAGTAAATTATGAATAGGTGCTGTGTTGTTTTCTACACATTTAATAAAGCAGTTCTCTTTGTTACTCCTGAAAGTGGTGCCTGAAAGATGAACTTCTAATATCTTTTACAGTATTGGTGGTAAAATGACCTGGGGAATGACAGTATGAAGACAGGCCATTTCAGCGATGAGTGCAAACTCTAATATTTTTAATTCTTGGAAAACTCCACTCTTTAAACAAGTGGAGAAGAGTTATGTTAAGAGATGAAGGCAATGATGGACTTTCCCGTTGGGTGTAACAAACTATTAAGCATAAATTCATTTGTTGAAAGATAATGCACTCTCTTGGTATTTTAAACACACCTTCAATGAAATGCAATTCTGAAAGTTACGGCATTTATAAAAGTCCTGCTGGTTTTTATACTGCAGTTTATGTTAGAAGCTACCCAGCAGGCATCAGAGTATGTTTTGGAAAGGGTGCACAGAGATAGTTAAGCTATGCCTCCCAGTCAATGCTGGCTCCTGCATTGATGTTTCAGTGGGACTCCAAAGTGCTGTGCACCAAAAGTTCTGTCAAATCTATTTCTTTGCTTTTTCCATGCCTTTCAGAGGGTGACTATCCCAGTATTGTCAACCTAGTCAGAGATCATGATGCACAGATGGGCAGTAGGCATTATTCCTTTGGGTGATGCCATTCAGGTGTCTTACCTTCCTACTTCCAAATGATTCCCCCACTGAATTTTGGGGACATGAGGCACTGCCCTTTTCGTGGCAGTCCACTAAGTTTGAAGGCATAGATATGGTTTCTGTGAGCTTATTGTCAGGTACATAGCCTAGTGTATGCTTCATCACCTGTGTGAATTTCAGTAGCAATGTCTATGCAGTAGCCTTTACATAGTGTATCAAAGAAAAGAATTTGCTCTGTTTCCTCTTAAGGAAATGGTACATTAGTAACAGTTGAGGAAGTGAAGTGATTATTTTCTTTAGATACTTTTCTTTTCCTTCTCAGAGAAAAATAAGTGGAATCCTGCAATTCTAAAGTAAATCCGGCAGGGATCACGTTCTTTTCCATGTCCCTAATGTACTACATATGATGATCCACTGCTGGAAAGGAGAGGTCTTTTGCCTTGAGGACATATGGGTACAAGTGCCTACTATTATAATTGGTCTGCTTGTTTTGATTTTTAAAAAAGAACAACTAATACATTTTGGAGTATATTTCCCTAATAGTTTAACATCTGTGTACTGTATAACAAATAACATCATTCCTAATCATTAATGTGCATTACGCTTTACAAACTTAGCACTTAGCGTGTGGTAAAAATGTCTGTATCCTGTCCACATTAGTATTCCCACTGTTGCTGCACCAGCAGTATTGCAACAGTGAAGTAATAAATAGGGTAGTGTAGAAAAGCCCTTGCTACTTCTGTTGGTATTCTTTTCCTTTCTTGTAATTCTAGAAGTCCAAATAGATCGAGACTGCTTTTCAGATGACCCATTTTTTAAATGAAATCTACTTTCTTGGTAATCTGTTCAGTTTTCCATAAATTTTGAAAAGTTCTTCAGAGTCAACATTACACATGAAAAATATATGTAGTGGTATCCTAGCCATTTTGGTTCCAGGATATTGGAGAGACATGGTGGATGAGGTAATCATACAACTGTAAGGCAGTGGTCTTCAAAGTTTTAACCACAAGATCACTTTTTCAATGTAAGTGCAATGTAAGATCTACCTCAAGGGAAGGGGAGGGTGGAAAGGAGCTCCCCCACCCACAGACCAATCATGGTTTGGGGTAGCCCCATCCTTCCCTTTTAGGTCCCACCACTTCCTGTTTAGGAATCCTTTTCACACATACAGAATGGGAAGTACTTCAGGAAGGGATCTAGGGGTCACAGTGGACCACAAGCTACAGTGTGACACTGTTGCAAAAAAAAGCAAACATGATTCTGGGATGCATTAACTGGAGTGTTGTGAGCAAGACACGAGAAGTCTACTCTGCACTGATGAGGCGTCAATTGAAGTATTGTGTCCAGTTTCTGGGTACTACATTTAAAAAAAGATGAGCTATGAGGCAAGGCTGAAGGAATTGGGTTAGTTTAGTTTGGGAAAGAGAAGACTGAGAGGGGATGTGATAGTGGTTTTCAGATATATAAAAGGGTGTCACAAGGAGGAGGGGGGAAATTGTTCTCTTTAGCCTCTGATGATAGGACAAGAAGCAATGGGCTTAAACTGCAGCAAGGGAGATTTAGGTTGGACATTAGGAAGAACTTCCTAATTGCCAGAGTGATTAAACACTGGAATAAATTGCCTAGCGAGGTTATGGAATCTCCATCACTGGACATATTTAGTAGCAGTTTAGACAGACTTCTATTAGGGATGATATAGACCATGATTGGTCCTGCCATGGAGGCAGTGGACTGGACTTGATGATCTCTCTAGGTTCCTTCCAGTTCTAGTATTCTATGATTCAGTGATTTCTGCATTCCAGCTTGGGGCATAAGGCCAGATGGTGTTCTCTGACCCCATGGATATTCAGTTATTCCCCAAAGATTTGGATGAGCAGGTATGTCAGCTAGTGCCTCAATGGGACCTCAACTTAGTCCTATCAAGGCTGACACGTCCTCCATTTGAACTGCTAGCCACATACCCTTTATTTGGCACTTAAAAAAAAAGTGCCAAGGCTCCTAAATGACCATTTGTCTTTAATAACTTGGAAGTCAGATACATTAAATTATAGGTGGCCATAACCCCTCTCTGAAATTGCCAATCTCAAAACTGGGCCTTAAATTTCCAGGATAAGAGGTATGAGACAAAGGATGGAGGGTAAAGCAAGTTAAAAATTCAACTTTTTTTAAAAAGTCAGAAAAAGTGTATCCAATTTACTTTGAAATTATGAATACCTAACACAACTGCAAAATTGGAAGAGAAAAATATTTTTTGAGGAAGGGCCAAAAAACTAACTTAGAGTAGAAAGAATTCTCCACTTTAGTTGCTTCTTTCTGTAGTATAAGGGTATGTCAGTGTTACCCACTTTTAAATTCTATATGACCCAGAAGCTTCACTTTAAGGGTACGTTTACACTTGCTCCCTATCTTGAGATAGGGATGCAAATGTAGTGTATCAACATTGCATAAAATGAGGAGTAACAGTTATTTCGAGAGAGAGGTTTTCTCTCGAAATAATGCTGCTACATGGGGCGTTTTATTTTGCAATAACGTGATTTCAAAATGGTGGCCGGACACGATTATGCTAATTAAGCGTGGGAACATTTGCATCCCTATCTCAAGATAGAGAGCGAGTGTAGACTTACCCTAAGAGTTTATGAATTTAGGAATTAGACACTTAAAATGGGATAAGGACATTTTTTCAGGAATCTTGTTGAAAAGCCTACAGGTAGCCACTGTGTTGATGTCTTACACAGCCAAAATGGGACATGACAACCCATCCTAGCATAAAAGGAGAGCAAGCCACTAGGTTTCATGCTGTCATGAAATACCTAAGCACAAAATTGTTGATCCTCAATTTTATTTTCTAAATCCTAATCAATTGGATGATGTTTTGTCCTAAATTAGGAAGAAATAAAAGTCATCTAGCCAAGGCCATGCTTTCCATTTTTGGAGAATTTCAATGTCATATATTTTAGTCAGCATTACTTTTATACATTCTGTAACACAATACATGCACATATTTGCCCTTCACAAATAGTTCCAGGTTTCCCTAAAATTCAGAAAAACATCATCAAACAAAACCTTTCAATTGTGACTGAAACAGAGTAGACTTATTCTATAAATATTTATAAACTCCAGTCATTTGGCAATAGCTATTTTCTTACTGAGCTCCAATGAGCATTTACATTGAGTTGTTTCTACCACATCTTTTTCCCTTTTCAGAAACAAGATTTTAAAAAACTGCAAGTGAAATTCAACTTTTAGACATGATCAAATAAGGAATCTTTGCAGAATGGGAAAGCATCATTAGAATCCTGATAGAAGGGTGAAGTCATCATCATATGGAGAGAGGGGGAAGTTTGTGAAGTACAGGCAGTCCCCGACTTACGCGGATCCGACTTACGTCGGATCCGCACTTACGAACGGAGCTTTCTCGCCCCGGAAGTCGGGGCGAGAAAGCCCCGTTCGTAAGCTGCTCCGGTGCCCCTGGTCTGCTGGAGACCGTCTCCAGCAGACCAGGGGCACCGGGCGGGTTCCCGCGCTTCTGAGGCTTTGCCAGGGCAAAGCTTCGCTCCCGGTGCCTGTGGTCTGCTGGGGACCGTCTCCAGCAGACCAGGGGCACCGGGAGCAGCTTACGAACAGCGGCACCCCGTTGCCGCTGCAGCTCCGCTCCCCGTGTCCCTATTCCCCTGTGGTAGAACCGCATGTGAGCACATGACCAGAGCTTCTCTGAGCTGCCATTTCCCCAGCCAGAGGGAGTAGGGGATGACATCAGAATGAAGAACCACTTCCTCTCCCCTGCTAGGCAGAGCCCGTGGGCCCGATGCAGCCTGTAACTTGCATTGATCCAGCCTGTTACGCTTGGGATTCCGGACTCCATAGCAGGACAAGCCAGCTCTGGCTTGCTCTGTTGTGGGAAGAGAGAGCCCAAGCCTCGTGGGCCGGATCAAGACATGCCGCATGCTGGGCCATAGGTCCCCATCCCTTTAACTAGATACAAATTTAATCACTAGCAGA